TCATTTTTTATATATATATATTATATATATATAATCCTTTATCTATCTCGATTAGTCATTTTTTATATATATATATTATATATATATAATCCTTTATCTATCTCGATTAGTTTTAGGTGATTCAAACAACCGTTAAGTGAACAAAACTATTATACTCTTATGCAAGAGTATAAAAAATAATAAATACTATTAGCTAGAATATAAAGACTTTTAGCGTGCTATTTGTTCATTGCAATCATTCTCCCGAGAACTCTTCTATATTTCTCAGAAGTGTTTTTTACTTTAAGATAACAAGTATTTCACCTCTTGAAGCTTTTTTATCCATAACCTCGTTTTATAGTAAATTGCTGAAGCTTTTGCTCCAATCGGTTGCTAAATAATATTTATATATTGTGTTATGTATTATATATTTATATAACTTGTTTGTTTCTTATGCAAAGTCTACTATCTCACACTACAAGCCTGGAAATCACTCATAGGAATAAAAAAATTAAGCTCAGAAAATCAAAAATAAAAGTTGCTAGGACAAACCAAACATTTTCCCCTTTTATCGACATGACATAATGGAGAATTATTTCAAGTTCGATTCACCTGAAGCAGTTGTCAATAATACTGCATAAACATATCAAATTACGCAAACAATTCCAACCACATAATAAATAAATTCGAAGCATAAAAATAAATAATAATAACAATGCAGGTTTAATGTACATGCAAATGGTTGAATCTATATAGCATTAATAATTCATGCAGCAATAACGGAACTTAAATGGTAATGAGATGTGAAGCAGCAGGAAAAATTGAAATATGAAAGAATTTTATATAAACAGTGTATGTGTACCAACGAGTGGCATGTTAGCAGAAAGCTATAGGTGAAATGCTTAATATACCAAAAAAATTATAACTTTTTAAGTGCTGACATTGATTTTAAAATAACAAGCAAGAAATTTAAGCATTTTGTTGCCCCAATTTACAACTGACTTGAGGCAGTAAGAGATTATTTTAAAAATATGCATGTCGCAGTAGTGTGCATGCCGTTCGTCATCATACCTAAAGTAAGTCGAACCTCGGTTGTTTATAAATACGTGCACACGATTTGTCAGTGTTGTATTATATATATTTATTCGGTAGATATATATTGCACAGTTTCTCCGACTTTTCCTTCTCGGTGTTACAATCTTCGTGCCAAATTTAATATACGACTACTCTGTTGAGGGTATAATAAAGCTATAGCACCTACTGGTAATTCCCAAATATCAAAAAATTGACGAGATAAAGACACCACTACAAGACGTTTAGAAAACGTATTGTTTTCTGAGAGGGATTGCCAACTGTTTAAGTAAATTTTATTCAATTACGACAACAAACTTTGAAAATTACAATTCCGTTTCAAATAAAGGAAACTACTCAAACCTTAAAGTGTAAAATATTTTTTAAAGTGCTGCTAGGTTTTTTATTTTAATTCTTTATTCAATATACAATTAATAATTTTTTATCCAGTTAAGTTTTAATTTCTATACAAATTATGTAACTACGATAACTGTATTCGTGAGGGTTATGTTCGCGATTCGAAAAACAATTGAATGCTAATGCAATAACAATAACATAATCCTGACAAATATTTGGACCAATTTCTGACGGTTCTCTTCGCTTTGTTGCAGTGTTATTTCCCAGCCCTTGTGTTTAGCAACATATTTGTGAATGATTATGCATATATGGGTATATACATATTGTTCATACTAAGCAAAGTTTTGTCTATTTTTTTTACTTGTAGCTTTTTGTCAAATTAAACTGCTGGAGTACTGCTTAAGGATGAAAACAGCTCACAGTTCATCAAGTTTCCTTCATTTTTGTAAAAATTTAATATTTTTATAAATTTATTGATTTTAAATAAGTCTTCTATATAATATTATATTAATCAGATAGTGATAATGTTGTAAAAAGTTAAGCTATTTGAGATATTCATATTAAAATATTATTTTTTATTTTAAGAACTAGGCTATTCGAATATTTAAAATTAAATCGATTTTTTACTATAATACATTTTTGGATCCTAAAACATTATTCAGTTTTTAGAGTAGTGAAAATAAAATTTTTTCCTATTCAATCACTTTGTTTCAGATAGCACTAGTTTTTAAAGTTAATGTCGTCAGCCAAGGTATTCTTAAAAATATGAATCTAAAGATTAGTCCAGCTACCGCTATTTTGAATTAAAATTTCAATAAGACAACCTTTTATACAATCAAATACATGTTATTTAAAGCCTGAAAGAGAGAAATTCGATAGCAGTTACGAATAAGATGTTATTTATCGTAAATAAGAAGAGCGAGAGCAAGTATTGGATATAAGTTTTTGTTATAATATCCATGATAGGACAATTAGGGTCGCCTTGGGTAAAA